CCCCAAAACCCCAAAACCCCAAAACCCCAAAACCCCTTCAAATAACATTCTTATTGAATTAAATAAGCATGACAACATTAAGGTTACCAATTTTGTAATGGAGGTTTAGAGTCCCGAGTTAGTTTAAGTTACCATTCAAATTAGTAATTAATAATTTATTTTTGACATTTAAAAGCAATTAAAATTCATCAAGAAAATCTCTTCCATTTTCCGATTCTTCTTTATTTTTTCTCTCCATTTTAGCTTTTAGAGTATCTCCATGAGACTTTCCAAATTCATCCATTAGGTCATCGAGATTAAATTGATTAGGAGATGGTGGCTCTTCCATTTTTTCATCTTTCTTTGGCTGAGGGATAATTAATTGGTCCCCAAATTTCCCTATAGAATCACTAAGATTTATAGGTTCATAATCCTCATCGTCCATTCTCATTACATGATTTTCTTTCATGAACCCTGAGTGCATATCCTGCATCTCTTTCAGCTGGTTCATCATAGCAATTTGTTGAAGTCTGTTTTCAGGTTTGAAGTCATTTATTTCAGAAGACTCATCTAGTTCTTTAAGAAGCTGCTCTTCATTTATTTCATCTTCTTGAGTATCGATCAGAGTTGCTTTATACTCATCAACTGGATTTCCAAATACATCATTGTTGTCATTTTGTAAATCTTCGAGAAGGCCGTTTAGGTTTGAAGGAGAGTCCTTCCTCACAGGATGACCATTATTCGTATCATTTGCATCATAATATATGCTTGCTAGATAATTTGTGAAAATCTGGGTAATAGGAAGCATAGAGCAAGTCTTTTAAAGCGATTTTTTGTAATAAATAATTTTTTGGATAATATCAATAGTGTGAAAAGACTTACACATCTTATTATCTGGTTGAATCACTTTAGTGCCAGGTTTAACACTAATTGACTTTGCGATTACGACATTTGTTGATTTGCCGTAATCGCTGTCTGAAGGTTCGGATTTTCTTATTGAATTTCTAGATGTCTTTCCTTTCGAACCAAAATCATAGGACACCACATTCCTTGCAATAACTGCTGCTGCAGGCATATCAATCCTCTGTGTAGGTGCTAAGGAAGATAAATTGCAACACTTACCTTTCTTTGGGGGCTGCTTGATTACATTGTCAGTAATATTATTTGATGCGTTACCAGACTCTATGTCTGAAATAGGAACTCTAAACCAAAGATTAGCTATTTTCATAGATATCTGAGAATTTTAAAGAGTCTTCTTATTTTATGTAACTGGAGTTCATCAAATAAAATGAAATCAACCAAACTTGACAGTTCACTTACTGAGGTGATTGCTTCTCAATGCTATTTAACATATCAGGACTCTTGTTCTTATATTTCGGAGAGATCTGCTCGGGTAGATTATTCTTTTGTAATTTAAAGTTATCAATACGGTTAATAATATCTCTGGAAGCTTCCCCAAGTTTTTCAGGATTGTTCTGTGCAATCTGATTTACCATCTTCTCTGTCTTAATCCTTTGAATTTTTCGAAACTTCTCATGCTTCTTAACCTCATCTAAGGATTGCCTCACTGTAGACTGTTCCTTATTTTCTGGTTCCTTTCGTTCATTATGTTCTTCGACTAAATCTGTATTAGATGAATCCTAACATATTACAAAATATCAAATTTTTAAATGGTTTACCTTCAAGGTCGCCTGCAAAGTTCCATTGTTCTGGAGGGTCAACTCTCCGGCTATTGTCATTTTGAATGTTCCATTGGCTGCCATTTTCTCTAGAAATATCTGCCATAATTTCTTCTTTCTTAACTATTGGACTTGTGTTTAATCTTTTTGATGAATCGGATTGGCCTCAACCCATTACAACTTGAGAATTACTAAAATATTATTTTAAATATAATCATTCATTAAGTTGAATGCTAAATGGGGTTTTGGGGTTTTGGGGTTTTGGGGTTTTTGGGGTTTTGGGG